AAAAAGTTCCAATTCTTGAGAACGTCTTGGAATCGACAAATTGCGGTTTCAGAACCACAATTATTACGACCATAAAATGGCAACAGCTCATGAACAGTTGCAATTGGAGAACGATTATTTTAGTAATAAATTTGAAAAATGTGTAAACTTTGTTCTTGCGTATATCTTTCCACGATGAAACTGTAAACATTACTGAATACAATGAAAAATTGTGGATCATAACATATTAAAAATGGCCGAAACGAAACTTAGAAATCATATCATCCCTATTGGATTGAAAAGCCGATATTAATGATCAGCGTATCGAGCTGAGTCGATTTAGCGATATCCGTCTGTATATACTCGAACAAGTCCCTCACCGGAACACTATAGCATATAGCTGCCATACAAATTGAACGATCGGAATCAAGAGTTTGTTTGGGAAACTTTTTTATTTGACGTAATATCTTCTCGAACTTTGACATGGGTTATTGCTTAAAACAATGATTGAAACTCCGAAGAAATTATTCAGAGCGAGTCACTATAGCATATATCTGCTATACAAACTGACCGATCACAACAAGTTCTTGTAAGGAATCTTTTGTATTTGTAAAGGGTGTTATAGCTTCGATGCAACCGAATTTAAAGAAGAAGAAAAACAAAAACTTTTAGGAAGAAAGTAGAGTCGATACGAGTATGTACGCTACTTACATATATTGTAAATATGAAAAGCTGTGAACAAAAGTAAACAATATACATATTTATTTTGAGTAATAAACTAAAGAGAAACTAAAACGATTATCCTAGCATTTAAATTCACTAGAGATTAATTTATATAATACTGCGATTATTTATTTAACTATAATTTTTAGTGTGGTCGAAAGAAGTAACTCTATGAATTGTAATAGAACAAAAACATTTACAACAAAAACAACTACTTATACCATTCATTGACACTTTACACTTATACTTCAAGCCCTTACACCATACATAATCGATTTTTCCTTCTACTTGTAATACTAGCAACATAACTTCACGGGGACCAATTTTATTTATTTAACGATTTTGTTTGACATAATATACTCTGCACACAATCGAATCGACGCACTCTCTCTCACATTATATTATTTGACAAATGCACGACTGATCCTCGTTTACTTGATCGATTTATGCAACGAATATGTACATGTGTGTAAGTTCTTAATTTTTCGGAGAGTTTTGTAACATTTGCCTAATATTTTATTGCTTTTGTGTGTGTCAAAATCGAAGTCAAAGTCACCACGATACAACGTAGCTTTTGTTTTACCACCTCACACTTTCATTCATTCATCGATCACTGAGGATTTCAGCCGATGCTAAACTCCTTTGTTATACTTTTGCAGCAAGGATATCGTTGCATGCAATGAGCATACATACGTACTTAAACACAATGGGGCGAGTTGGGTATGTCGTCGGCTTGTCTGGCGTGGTTCTGGTGATATTCTCCGAAAATCCGAAAATTCTTACATGAAACCCAGCACTTAATAGCATTTAAGGATTATGAATTGTCCTTTCTATTTGCTTGTTGTGCGTTTTTGTAAATGATTGACCGATTGTCCGACCAATTGGTTGTCCGAACATACGAATGAATGAAAGAACGCTAATAGCAATGGTCTATCGTGTGCGCCCGTGCAGTGTAAACTCTTCGTGTTGGGCAGCAACGAGCGCAGCGGTGGTCCATTGTATTTCGATAATATTTTATCACATGTTAAGTGGCTACAAAATGTCAAGAAGTTACCACCGAACCAAGCAGCTCTTCAAACTGTCTGCATGTAGTATGGATCCATTGTTGTGTTTGTGCGTCCGCATTTGTATCGGCCAGCCAATTGGCGTTAATTGTGCAATTTCACAACATTACAATATAGGAATTTTCTTTGGAGGTGGTTTCTTCGAGGGTTCCAGCGTATCGACTGCCAATGCAACCACCGCCCGTGCGTTGATCATTTTGTGCCTTTTGCGCCTATTTGTTTTCGGTTTCGGTCTAATTCCCAATGAAATTGGAATTCCGATTCAATTCTGGTGAATAAAATTGCAAAACAGCTAAACAATAATATTTTGTAGATATTTTCGCAAGTATTTTTTTTTATTTCATTGAAGCCATTCATATAATTATTCGAATTCTTGCGCCTTTTTCGTTCTTGTTTCGGAATTTTGACCTTGCAGCTGCATTTTATTATTTAGATCAGCATCTGTTGGGGCGTCTGCTGGTCTCGTGCGTTCTTCTGGCTTTCACTTGGCAGTTGCTCATTTGTGTGTCTCTTTTCTTTTCCGCCAACGTCCACTTGAGCTAATTCATATGAATAAAAAAAAAATAAAAGTAGCCGAAATCTTTTCTGCCGTTAAGTACTTTGTTGTTTTGCGCGTTTGACCCATTTCCGTTTATGGTGTCTATTGCTCTTTTCTGCTTAATTAATTTTCTTTGTATAGTACGTGCAACTGATCCTCTCAAAAGAACAAATAAGTTTTCTACCGTATTTGTTATTATTGTTCCTTCAGAGAGGTCAAAATGGTTTAGGAGCAAAAGGTTATAATGAAAGTTGAATGAAATGAAAAAAAATTTAATTTGTATATCGTGTATTTATCTCTATATTCAAAAATGCAAAAATATTCTATTTTACTATGTCTTAAAGATCGGAAATCCGGTTTGCAACGATTAAGAGTTTCCCATTATATAAAAAGTAAAATACAATTGTTACATATGGAGGTTCGCTCTGATAAAGTAATCAAGTTTCTATATCTTATACAAAAAAAGTAGTTCATTCGATTATCTATCAAACTTACCTAAGTCCATCATATGACAATTTTAGAAAACAGATTTTTACTTTCCCAAATATCTAATTGGATGTTTGCAGTATTTATCTAAGAAAAAATAAGGTAACGAAAATCAAAATTACAATTGCTTAATTTTATGCTTTGGATTAAAACACTTTTGGTTAAGAAATTTCTTTTTGGCTGCAAATTTGTTGAAAAATAGGCGTCCAACCATCCCCTAGTAGGTTTTAAATAAAACCTTACAAACCAAACTGGAAGCGCTGTAAATATTTGCCTTTAACACCTCAACCTACAGTTAGAAATCGGCCCACCGCCATACAAAAATCAGGTTGATTACTGATACTCGCTAAAAGAAAAAATTGGAAAATTAGCGAAATCAGACTAAAATCACGTCTCCTTCCCATATCATACAATGTTACATTCCATCTGATTCTTTCTTCACAAATGAAGCAGTAATAAAGAAATAATAAATAAAACTTTTCACAAATAGTACCATCGAGGCCACCATCGAGGTCATCTAAAATTATTGATTTCCGCCTTCTTAGTTAATTTTTTCCTCCATACCCAATTTATTAAATTGTATCCCTTTGGTTAAATTTATAGCACATATATATCTATAAAAGATGCATCAGAACAAGTAAGGAAGTTGTAAGTTCGGGTGTAACCGAACCTTTTATACTCTCGCAACTTGCAAGGATCAAACCCGGGAAATTACTTCAGGTGTTGGCAAAATTTTATAGTAAAGGAAGTATTGCTATTATTATTTAACAGTACCGACTTCACATATTTTCACAATGTCGATAGAGGTGCTAAAAGCGAATTTTGTAATTATAGCTTTAGCGGTTTAGGAGATATGTTCATTAAACCTATTAGGGGACTGGACCACGCCCACTTAATACAATTTTTTTAACTGCTGATGCCTCTCCTGTATACAAAATAACAGTATTTTGTCTTTTTGTGGAGCTTAGTTATGGAAATTTATTTATTTGTGATTAATGATCCGATTACGCCCATCTGCAATACCAACCGTCTTAGGGTACCAAGAAACATGTGTACCAAGTTTCATAAATATATCTCAATTGTTAATCAAGTTACAGCTTGCACAGACGGACGGACAGACAGTCACCCGGTTTTCAACTCGTCTCTTCATCCTGATCATTTATATATGTATATATAACCCTAAAATCGAACTCGATTAGTTTTAGGTGATATAAACAACCGTTAGGTTGGGTGATTATACTCTGTAGAAACATGTTGCGAGATATAAAAATTAGGTAAGATTTCGATTAGCGTTGTCGACCTGAGGATGATCTGCTTCTATCATGAACAGCATGTTGATTGTTCAAGAACAAGTATTTGCAAAGATAAAAATATAGATATCCTTTCCAATATTATTTATTAAAATAATTTTTATTGACATCTACATAGAGGAATTATCTATGAAAATAATAATAAAATTGTTATCAGTTGCTTCAGAAAATGTTCAACTTCATTATTCATAAACTGTAAGGAATCACCCTATCCCCCCCCTATCTAATTCAAACATTTACATCTGCTTAGCGTATGCCACATTCAATAAAATTTCCAATTAAAGAACTTGGGTACATAGGTATGTACGCATGTATGAGGCCCAAGCCGCACGTACCTGCCATCTGCTGAAATCAGAAACGTTTGCCATGGAACACCCTAATATTGTACAAAACAATCTATTGAGTAGCAAAGAAAGGGCGGAGCATAAACGGCAACAATTGCAAACTATTAACAAGTTCAGCTTGCAAACATATACAAGCAAAAAATTTAGAAAAATGAAATACAAATTTATAATTTGTCAATTGGCAGCGGGTTTTAAAGTATCTAAATGGTCTCTTAATGGTTCCCAACAACAATGAGCGGTGTTCACGAATAGTCTAATGAAAGAGGCAAACGATAACTACCCTCAAATGATAATTTGTTGTGGTAGGAAATAAGACAGTTTTGTTGTTACAACATGGCCGCATAGTCATATTCATAGACTTTGCTAACATACCAAGGGTAGTTTCTCTTCAGTCCTATCCACCCTTACTTGAACAGCGTGGCATATAAAGCAGGATCACTCCTCAGGCAAGCGCACAGTTACAGTCTGAGAATGATCTTGTACGGTTATTACCACTAATTCTAATTCTTCGATTCTTATATTGCCGTGTGTGAAAGAAGACTGATTTGTGTTCACAATGTCGCGTTCTTTTCTAATGGATTCTCTGCTGCGGGATGTACCGCTAACAAAAAAGGATCCTTTAGGTTCACCAACTGCCTCATCATTTACATCTGGGCAATCAACATCAACAACTATAGGTGCGGCGGCAGCTGCAGCTGCTGCAGCAGCAGCGGCCATATTACCCAGTATTCCTATGTTCCCATATCCCGCTAGTTATGTGGGTAGTTACCTATTCTCTTTGGGTATCCAACAACAGCAACAACATCATAAACAACAACAAACAGAAGCGGTGGCAGCAGTTGCAGCAGCAACTTCCTTGCATCATCACTCCAACTCCCAAGCTTCAGCAACGCATTCGCCACTCTTACAATCGTACACCGCATCGCTTCTATCGCAAAAAAGAAAATCTCTGGGATTTGACCATTACAGCAGTGCCGCCCAATTGCCTTATAATAGCCACACACTGCCCCACAGTGATACCTTCTGTACATCACCATCAGCATCTTCTACGGGATCAACTATTGAATATGGAAACTATAGTGATGAGACGCCGTCGGCAAAACGTTTCAATCAAGACTCCGCTTCATGTTCGCCCATGAGTTCTCCTAACAAAAGTTGTATGACTCAACCAATAAAAATCGTGAACGCCTGTTCGAATAACCAGTGTTCGGTATCTACGACTTCTAAGATATTATACTCAAACTCCAACACCTCCGTCACATCGTGTGGACATACTATGCCACTAGATATCACACCAGTGATTACTGATTACGCGGATTCCAGTAAACGCATACGTACCGCCTTTACCAGCACTCAACTGCTAGAGCTCGAGCGTGAATTCTCCCTCAATGCATATTTGTCACGGTTGCGACGCATTGAGATCGCCAATCGATTGCGTCTGTCTGAGAAACAAGTAAAGATTTGGTTCCAGAATCGGCGCGTAAAGCAAAAGAAAGGATCGGAAAGTCCCACATTCAATTTTTCTGCCGGCAGCATGAGCCCCACCTCGTCTTCGTGCGACAAGCAGTCACAAAGTCCTACCACATCACCATTCCGCACCAACAAAAAATGTTGTTGTGGGAAGAATTCGAAACTTGAACCGAGACAGGACGTCGATTCTCCCACTTATTGTCGCAACCGGTCCTGTGGACAAGAAATTTAAGTACAATATATAGCAGGTTAAGCGAATAGTCCCGATGTAAATTGTAAATATCCTGTTGATAATTAGCAATGTTAAGAAATTTGTAAATATAATCATAAGTTTAGCAAAATTTTAAAATATTAAAACAAAAAAATTTTAAATGAACATTGGTTTCTTACAGCAAAATTCCTAGTATCCTTTTTGAAATTTTCGTCTTGGACTCAGGCGCATTTAGACACAGTCAAGCAATCTATTTCCCGGACAAAGATATCGATCCTCTTTACCTATCAAAGATCTGCGAGAGATTTAGCATTTACTTTTTTAATACACTCAATAATAAAGAATATTCTTTATAATTAGTCTACATATGTAACAGCTTTCACATGAGAGGATTCAGATTTATTCACATATGTATGTTATTACATAAACTGAAAAGTAAATGGTCAGAAAATTTGGCCTAACTTTGATTTCCCATGTTCGGGATCAATCAAAATAATTTCATGTGATTCCCCAAAAATACCGACTAAAACCTTGCCAGTCGACTGTCGTGTTTTAGGCGCTTTGGACGGCTTTCATCACAATACAACCATTCATCGGACTTCCGACTGGATTCAGAAACTCGTTTAAATTAGATTTTATCAGTGGCAGCTTGTCCTCTGAATTGTTCGATATTTGAAATGCCAACGATGTTCATCAACTTACTCATTCTGTGGCCATCTTACCCATCAAGCGGGAGAAATGGTCCATTTGGCGGAGTTTTAGCGTTTTAGACAACAATGTTTTCTTTGTTTTGTTTTTCTCTCAATATTCGCCCACCTGTGAGCTTTCGATCTTAACATGCATATGTTTCAGTAAGTGCCCCAATTATTTTCGCGCTATTTTGCAATACAAAGTTACTTCACACAAAAAATAATATATATAATATATAAATTTTTATATTACTCTCTTTTTACCTCTCATAACCTCAAAATTTAAAAGTACCTCGAAGTACACGTTCATATAGTAAATGATGAAGCTTGCAGCTTATATGCGTATGTGTTACCAGACAGCCTTATATTCGAAAGCTCTGACTCGGAATAATTTTCTAAACATTTTTTTTTGTTTGGCACAAAGAATGTGAGGAAGTAAGATTTTATAAAAAAAATTATTTATGTTATAAACAAAAAACGAAAAATTACACATAACATTTGCTTTTAAAGAAAAACATTTAAAGTAGACAATAAAATTACCGAAATTAATTGATAAAGTAATTGTTATTAATAATAATTTGTTAAACTTATTTTATAAATAATATTACACTTCAAATTTGTTATTTTTTTTTAATGTATTAACAAAGCAAAGCATTTTTCGCACTTCGCATTACTATGCTTCAACGGTAACGTTTTCCAACAACTTAAGAATGATACGATGAAATGAAAGGTAGTATTCTAAGTCAAGGATATAGATTTTTAACTTGTGGCGGAATCTCCATCAACGAGTTTTCTTATTATATTGGTTCATGTATTTCAAATCGAATTTCGTTTAAGCATATGTATACGATGTATCAGTAAAATATTTTAATTACATATATTATACATATTCGAAACGCTCGTAATTTCTATGCTTGTCAGCTTATGTCAGAATTCACCACACTGCGCTAATAACACATTAAAACGGTTATCCATTCATTTCCCATAGGATGTTCATACAAATGTATCTACTTTTATGTATGTGTGTTTGTATCCTATTGAAATATGTGAAATGTAATCTGACAAATTTTCATAGTCTTCACAATTCATTCAGTTTTCGTTCAAACCTATGTGGATACCAGTAATTTGCTAATTTTTCGCTTAGACAGGATTATGACTTCGCTCTTCTGTGCTGAATGGGAGAACTGGCAGTAGTTAACTATAAGCACATCCAGAATAGGCTCAACATTTAAGTGCTAATATACATGTCTTCCGATTTTTATCACCATTTTATTTGTGGCACTAGAACTGCTTTACGAGTTAATGCGGTTTATTACAATGGTTTAAGGTACAATAACTATCATACTTAAAATTTCCCAGCTTGTATGATGATATTCTAATACGCAATTCCTATTATTAAGACGGCTAGAAGAAATTGGAAATGCATTTAAGGCAATTGGTTTTTCAATTATTTTAGCTTCCGGTTTACTTGAATCATTAATAATAAGTTTAATTTACAAAAAACATTTGTTTTCGTAATTTTTTTCGAACTATACGAAACATTTTAATGAAAAAGTGTTTAACAATCTCAACCCTTAATATTATTTTCTTAGTCTTTATTTTCAACAAGAAAACGCATTCTACCTTGTACCGACAATACAAAAATAAAAAGTTTTTTATTTATAGGACTTTTAAATCGTAAGTAAAGAAGCAAACACAAAGAATACGAGTACCTATTCCGAACTAACATTTGTTAAGTACTAAAAACTTGTTCATATAAAAGTTATATTTCACAATTTTTTCTACTTTTTTAGTCAAAATTTCAAAGCTATATCTTTACTAGAAGTATTATAGGTCTTGCTCTATACATGCCCAACCACTGCGAGTATTGTGATCATTTGTATTATATAACGAAAGGTCATTGTTGCGTCAGTGATCTCAGATGCCAGGTATATTGAAAACAATGTATGGTACATTTTCAACAAATTTATAATCCTTGTTTAAATTTTCTATATAAAGAAGTGCAGAATATTTGTAGAATGGAAGTTGGAATTAACTTCCAGGGATACTTTTTCACTATTCTTTAAACTTTTTCTGCAATTTTTAATAAATCATTAAAACATTCATTCGTTTTTACAGTTGTTGTTTATTTGTTACGTCTACGAATTTTGTTAGTCCTTACGTGAAGTCTTTAAAATATTTTCTAACGAGAACCACGACTCTCTCGACCAATTAGTTTCGTTGTACGTATAAGAATATTTGTTTTTGTTGATAACGTTTACTTGACTAAAATGATATGATTTAGAATTTGCAAAATCATCGGTCTAATATTGAAATTCGGGGAGAATATTTTTGCGATAGCAGCCCTTGTGCCAAAAATGAGAAAATCGGGAAAAATCAACACTTCTCTTAGCCGTACGTAGTACGTAATATAAATATTTTCGAACTTCTGGTTGACTTTATACCGCATCCATCGGCCAATATATAATTATTAATGAAATCCAGAAAGAATCATTTTCTAATAACGGCGTTTCCTCTTTCTTAAAATAAATGAAACCATGACAATACTTCCCCTAGTCCCCATATACCTAATACTTGTATACGGATTTTCAAATATCCGCTTGACTGTACCTTATAGTATTTTAGTCAATTGGTTTGTTAATGAAATTCAGAATGCCTCTATTTTTATGTCGTAATACCAAAACTGGGTAAAATCCTTCCAAAATATTCCCTAGCCCCATATATGTACCAAACTTCCGGTTGGCTTTATTCCGTATATATCGCTCAATATATAAAATATCTTACCAAACCTAAATGAAAGTATAATATTTGATATACTATAGTTTGATGCAAAAATATGCGATATTGGTCTACGAATTACTCCAGCTTCCATTCACTACTTACAATGATTTTGGTTAATTGAGAGATGTTTCACATATATCGCATTTCAGTTAATTAGGTTGATCTTATTGTTAATACTTCGGAAATGCAATATGTAGTAATGAAACGAAGTAAGTCTACAACTTATAATATAACTTAATAAAATACCAAATTTATTTGCAATTCATTCACAATTTCGTGGATTAATGAATGTTGAACTCTTTCTCAACAGTTTTTAGTATAAAGGCGAAAAGTTGCGAGCGAATTAAATGTTTGGTTACACCTGAACTTAGTTTGTTTTAATATTTTCCTTGACCGTTCAATCCCAAACATTTCCAAACATTCTTAACAGAAATCTATCAACAGCCACGCGGTTTATTTAAATAATGGAATAGAAATCCACCACCCTGCCCTGAGGGCTTATGCTCAAAAAGATGTGTCTTAGGAATGTGGAAATTAAAATAGCTTCAAATAAATTAACTGATTAAGAGCATACTACAATTTCAACTTTGTTACAGTACTGATTTACCACAAAATATTTACTAGAAATCTTAATTAATTATAATAATTAGTTCTTAGTGAGAAGTTTACAACTCATAAATGGTTTTTATTATTGATAAATAAATTATAATTCGTAAAATAATTACTATTTTAGAGCGGAAATATCATTCTCAAATGATCACAATTTTTTATTCTGATTAATACAATAACATATAGATTTGTACTAATTTCTCAAATAATATATCAACATCAATTGTTTTTGATAACGACTACACTACCCATTTTTGAGTCGACAACGGCGGTTGGAACCGTATCCTAATGCGTTACCAGTATGTATGTTGCTATAAATATATATACTATTAGGGTGTTTCATTTAAAACTGTTTTTGTTCCTTTGCCGCCACATGAAAATTTTGCTTTTAATTTAAAAAAAGTAAAATACCTAAAAATTTGAGCCAATCTTTTCAACATTTTTCTTATAAAATATTATTTCATACTTTCAACTACTAGGTTCAAAGCTGTCGAAGGTATCGTAAAGTCAGACGGCGAGATCGTTTTTTTAGTTCATCTAGCTAATCAGTCAAACGGATTCTGCCAAATACCTATACCCCCCACAAAACACTTATAACTTAAAAAAATTGAAATCAGAAAACTTTAAAGCTGTAAAACTACGCAAAACGAGTCACACATTTGAACCCCAGGTAACACTTCAATTTCAAGTATCCAATTCAAATGCCCACTTCAGTAAAGACGACAATCGGAAAAAATGTGACAAATACATACATATGTATTGATGAATCGATGAATCGGTGTAGACGAGTACGTATCCAACAACGCTTCGTTTTGCAAAGAACTGCAGGAGTTTTATGGTCAGAGATATGTTACAACAAATACGCCACAGCCAGAACGAATTATGCCAGACCATTTTACCTGTGAAAATTCCTTTTAAGCCGCCGACGGCGTTTTTCACTGCGAACAACAACAAACTGTAATGAATCGAACAACAGAACTGTGAATGAATAAGAAAGAAACGAGTCGAGATGCAGACGATGCTGACTTGGGATGACAATTAAAATGGCGGGGCGTAGAATGATTACAATTGGCAACAGTTTTTGGCCAGTTGGCAATAAAAATCTGCTTGCACCTACAAAAGCATCTAATGCATTGTCAACTGAAAGTAATGCAAACAAAAGGACAATTTTCGAATTTTCAAATCGCAATTTCCAATTCTTTATTTTGTTTCCAAATTACAAACACCAAAATCACTGAATTGTTATTTTACTCGATTTCAATTGATCCTTTGTAATTTGCAAAACATTCAGGCAATTCTCTCTCAAGTGGAGGCTCTTGAAGCATTCGTGTGCATCAAAGCATGGACACGCCGAACCTTCTTGCCCTTTCTCTTCGTTGCGTGATATTGCAGGTTTTTTCTGCTAACTTTTCGATATTTATCGCTCTGTTATCTTTTTCATGATCGCTAATTGATTGTATAAAAATTTAATTTTGTGTCAAAAATCATAAATTACTGTGAGCGCAATTTGCTATTAAGAACGGGTTCGTAAGTGTCGTGGGAATGCTGGGATATCATTTTTAAAAAATGCCTCTTAAGAGGTTCTGGAGTTTTAGGAATGATTAATTAATTGTGTTATGATTAAGCATATTCAAGTAACACTTATTACATTATATAACTTAGCTGAGAAAATGTAGAAAGCAGCTAGGTCTGGGTTTGGAAAAAGTGGAATTTTACTTGCGTAACAGGAATGGCTCTTGATTACAGTAACTAGCAATTGATTGATATCTATAATGTTAATACAAATTAAATCATAGAATGTATATTTATGTATGTCTCTTTTAGAAAGGTGAATATGGAGAGAAGCATATTTTTGTATTTATGGACGCATTTCAGATTTAAACGAAGAGTATTGTCGTTTAACATATACGTAGATAGAAATGTAATAATGAAAGATGGCATTCCGAGCGGTAATAGTATTTAAACAATTATACGACACTTATTCGACACTAACTTCTCTATAATGTATTCTTACAATATATTCCTAAAGTCTTCTTCCAAAAGGGGTCTTATTTTTAAACATATTTTACGTTATCGTTCCTGAAAATTTAATTTAGTATCATGGACTTTCTATTGTGTTAACATCTCAAGCATTTATGTTAGCCTCTTGTCGCTATCTTCCTGAAAAATATATAGTGCTTTAAAATTTTATTTTCTTATTGCAAAATATCGATGTACTGCAAATTAACGCGCTCAGTGTCGTTAATTAAAACAGCACTCACTGAGGTAAACGCTGTTAGGCTTAATTTTGATCCATTCGTTTAGTCAATAACATTACTATGATGCTGATGATAATAGACTCTAGGAAAGAGACATTTCTTGTAACTCTCGAATACTAAATATTGACCGTCGGGAGAATTTCGGGCTCTTTGGAAGTTTGCGTTACTGCTATGTGTGCTTTAAGCACTGTACGGATTATTGAGTGTTCCCTACACTAATTCTAATCAAACTCTGCAAACCAGGGACATCAGTGGTCCATTAAATCCCCCTCTGAGAGAAATGATTTAAGGACTATTACAAAAACATCCTCCGGTTTTAGGAAATTGTCTCGTTTGCAAAAACATGTCTTGCATTTAACAATTGCATAGTACGATGACTGTACTACTTAACAGCACCGAAATAAAATATGTATATATTTTTACTTCTGCCAGGTGTGTAATTTTCAGTACCTGAAAGTTAATTTCATATACCAAGTCCATATACCCTTGTCTCACACCCACCTGTGGCGCATGCGCACTAACAGTTTAGCACAAGGAAAGGCACTAAATAACAACAACTCGTTGCCGATCACATCATGAATGAATGGCTTATAAACGATCGAAAAATGCGAGTGCTACAAGTGCCTCTTCAGCTTAAGTGCATACCTGTATAGTTTCAACAAGCCAAGTCGATAGTCAACATGAATGAGTCCACTTGGCTGCACTGCAGGTATGAATGGACATTGAGAAGAAAGCCCAGTATAGTAACCGAAGGTCAAGCAGCGTAGACAATGGCACAGATAGTAAGCGATACGCATTGTGACTCGGATAATTTAGCAATGTAATGGAATAGGTATTGCTCGACAATGTTTTAAATCTATTTAAAAAATCATTAGACGAGGAAACCTTTGAATTTGACCCATTGTTCATTGTTAACACTTGTAAATTCTTCGCAATTTCGAATGAATCCGCTATGGCTCAGAATATGGAAGACAGCGCTGACTTCTTATTGTTTTACCTAGTGACTTTTCAAATACACAGTGTACTTGTAGTTAAAAAGGCATCGGTATGTGCAATTTTTTCATTATTTGTCTGATAGAATCTCTTTTGTTCGTCTCTGATGCCAGACAGTATATCACCGAAATGTTGGTAATTTATGAAAATCTTGGCGACAGCCTGTCTGGTTTTGTCGGCGCACAATTGCGGCGTCAGTACTTTACATAGAGTTCGTGTCTCGTTGAAAACAATCCTTTCACATTGGTTAACTGAGAGACTCTTTGAATGAAATTACGAAAATGAACGGGAAACTCTTATTTCAGAACGAAGTATACTTATATACAAAATCAACATGTAGTTTTATTCAATGAACAACATTATATAAAAATGTGTACTTGTTTGTACATACTCCAACTGCTTCAATATTGCCTGAGTGAGGACTTATGGCCCACTCACATACAACATTCATCGCTTTGCTTGACAATTCATAATTTTACAACGAAGCGAAGAAAGCAACTGTATGCCACAATGTATGCTTTGCTTTCAGTATTTTTCTCTAAAAACAATGGCGACTGTAGCTTGGCAAAGCGTTAAAAGATGAGAGTTGCCCGGCATTTAACTTGGCTTCGCGTCGAAAACTTTTTATGTGAACATACTGATACAAAAGCGTACATCCAACTTTTCTGTCAAAACAAATGTTTGATGCAAAGTGAAGCAAAAGTGCTATGTGAATTGGCCATTACTGTCGTAGCTGGCTAAATTGTACTATATCGCAAAAGCTTTCAAGCTTAGAGAGCTTTCTTAAATACTCTGGATACAAATGAACTTTAGGTGTACTTTTTTAGACGGTCGAAAGCTTTTATGGCAAAAACCTATAAAGCATAGTATATATACAGTAAGATGGTTTAATAAGTAGACTGTAAAAGTACCGTTATATATTCCAAAACTATTTAATTACTATCAATACACATTAAAGCTATAATTTTCGAAAATTTGCAGAAAAAAGGAAACAACGTTAACTTCGGTTCCAGCGAAGCTATAATACCCTGTGCAGTTGATTCCGATCGTTCAGTATTTATGGCACCTATGTATATGCTATAGTGGTCCGATATCCGGTGGTTCCGACAAATGATCAGCTTTTTGAGGAGAAAAGAATATGTGTAAAATTTCAGATCGATATCTCAAAAACTGAAGGACTAGTTCGCGTATAGTCAGCATATAGAAGGACAGACAGACGGACATGGCTAAATCGACTTAGCTTAACACGCTGATCATTTAGATATACCTACATTTTATATGGTATGCGACGTTTCCTTCTAGGTGATACAAACATCGTGGCAAACTTAATATACCCTGCAGATGCACAACTACCACGTCATGAGCTTAATGAGACTAAGTGGAAATTTTCTTGAAACCGTGTCAGCTGATCCCCCACGTACGCATAATATTGCCACCTTTGCCTTTATTATAACATACTCTTGCAACACTTAACGGTTGTTTGCATCACCTAAAACTAATCGAAATAGATATGGAGTTATTTGTACAATATATAAATGATCAAGATGACGAGACGAGTTGAGTTCCGTATGTCCATCCGTAAGTCTGTGTAAGCGGTAACTTGAGTAAAAATTGAGATATCTTGATTAACTTGGTACACATGTTCCTTGGCATACAAAGAGGTTTGTTAATGCAGATCGAAAACGGTCCATTACCACTCCCACAAAACGCTATTAATCGAAAATCTATGAAGTGCCATAACTAAGCTAAACCATAAGGTACAAACAAATTAGTAAAACGAACTGCAGGGATGAAGGGGCATCTATGATTAAAGCATTTTGAAAAAGTGGGCGTGGCCCCACCCTTTAAAAAGTTTAATGTACATATCTCCTTAACCGGTACGTAGGGCTTTATAGGAAACAGTGTCAAATTTGTATGATGGGCGTGGCTCCCCCAACATTTAGATGAAAATACATATTTCGGGACCTAATCGACCGATTTCAACCAAATTCGGTACGTAATATTATCCTGACATTCCTACATCCAGTGCGTATATAACACAATTTAAAATTCCATCTGATTCTTTCACTTTCCAGTTTACAAATCAAGAAGCAGTAAATGTATCCAGATACAACTTTGTACGAATAGTAGGTGACATTTATGACGAAAAATTGTCCAAATTGGACTACAATTATTCAAGCCCTTATATACCGAATATGTGGACCCCAGTTTCTTTTGTGAACTTTTTATCGCAAATATGGGTCTGTGATACAATCATCTTTATACCGCATATACAAGTACATATCCGCCAACATGTGAGTTGTCTTAGTGAAAACGAAAGAGCGTGTTTTAGTAAAAACAATTATCATTCTGCCTAAAATGGATAAAATTGAAAACTTCTCCTAGACCCCATATAACTAACATAAGTATTTTCAAACATCTAGTTGTCTTTCCTCCATATATTGGTTATGGTATGTGAGCGTATCAGCGTTATTCTTTTATCTTTAAACGCTCGCAGCATTTTTCGTTTCTGCAGGACAAAAACGACTAACATTTCGAGAAAAATGCTACTTTTTTAAGAACGCCATCGTTTTGTAAATTTTTAGCTTCTTTCGACCGTAGGACTTTGTACGTACAATATCCTTTAGTGAGATATTTTTAGGTTTCGTCCACGAAAAGGCCAGATTTACTGTAGCAGTGAAGGAGATCTTTTTACAGCCGTCGGAAATTCCGTAGAATAAATGCGACTGAACAGAATTCCTACCGGGATGCCACAGATTGAGATGCCTTAACTTTCCCTACTTAAGTTGTTTTTATTACAATACATTACACTTTCTAAGTGCAAACGTAAATTAAGTGCCTTGTTGAATATATTGAGCATAATTATGACGATTTTTATTAAGCAACCTAAACAAGTTAATTGACTCAGATTTAACCACTAAAATAAATATTCAAATTGAAGTCTTGAAATCGCTTGTTCCCCCGACTAAGTGAGTTTGTGTGGTAAAAATTGCAAGGAAAATAGTAAGTAATTAGAAGATCACATTAGAAAATGTTTTAACTCTTTTGGGGAGCACCTAGAAATGGCTACATTTAGTATTAATTTGTGCGACATTTGAGAATTTTAGTGGCGAATACATTTTTCCATGATTGCGAAGCATTTTGAACGCAAGTTCTTTCTAGGTATGTACATATATACCATATGTATAATATAATAATGTTAACAAATAGAGTAATTATTTTCACAAAAAAATTTAAATTTTGGTGAACAATCTTAGCTGTTTATATAGTTTTTATATCCAAGGCATGTTGGTTGGTCCTCTTCGAGACTCTCATAAAGGTTATTTTTTTTTTTGTTTAAATTAATTGCTGTATAAACAATTTTTAAAATTTTTAACCGTGTTACTCTGACAGACGTTGTTTTCCCGAATACATAAGCTAGACCGAAACTACTTAATAATTAAAACTTGGCAGTTGAGGGTATCTTATCACAAATAAAATAAGAGGATCCCACAAGTTTCAAAAGGAAGGCCGTTTAAAAAAAAAGGGATCTTCAAAGACATCAAAGGAATGATGGTTCGTATAATAGCTGGACATTTCATTATTTGCCGAATATCTCTGTAAATACTTTAGCAGTTAACACACCTTAACTTTCGACAACTTATCAGGCGAAAGGTGATACGAGTATCATCATTGAGGAAACAAATTTATTATTGTCAATGCATAGACATGCCTTTCGCTGGGTGTATGTATTGTATGTGTACTTAGTTATTTATATGTATGTACATTAGACTGCTTTTTTTTATACTCTCGCAACCTGTTGCTACAGAGTATAATAGTTTTGTTCACCTAACGGCTGTTTGTATCACCTAAAACTAATCCAGTTATATATATATAAATGATCAGGATGAAGAGACGAGTTGAAATCCGGGTGACTGTCTGTCCGTCCGTCCGTCCGTCCGCCCGTCCGTCTGTCCGTCCGTGCAAGCTCTAACTTGAGTAAAAATTGAGATATCTTTATGAAACTTGGTAGACATGTTTCTTGGTACCGTGAGACGGTTGGTATTGCAGATGGGCGTAATCGGACCACTGCCACGCCCACAAAACGCCATTAATCAAAAACAAATAACTTGCCATAACTAAGCTCCGAAATAAGATACAATACTGTTATTTGGTACACAGGATCACATTAGGGAGGGGCATCTGCAGTTAAAACTTTTTTCTATAATAACAAAATTCACTAGAAGCAAATGTTTTTAGCACTTCTATTGACGGTGTGGAAATAGTTGAAATCGGGTGGCAACTCCGCCCACTCCCCATATAACGGTACTGTTAAAAACTACTAAAAGCGCGATAAATCAAGCACTAAACACGCCAGAGACATTAAATTTTATCTCTGAGATGGTATAAATTGGCTTTATAGGAACCGCGTTCAAAATTAGTCAGTGGGCGTGGCACAGCCCACTTTTAGGTGAAAACCCATATCTTGAGATCTGCTCAACCGATTTTAACCAAATTCGGTGCATAACGTTCTTTTCATGTTTCTATGTCATAGTGCGAAATCGGATCACAACCACGCTTACTTCCCATGTAATACCATTTTCAATTCCATCTGATTCTTTCACTTTCCACTTTGCAAATCAGGTAACAATGATTATATCGGGGTAAAACTTTGCGTGAATAATGCAATTAAAGTATGCCACCTTGCGGCCAAAAATTGTCTAAATCGAACCAAAACTGTTCAAACCCCTAAGTACTAAATATGTGGACCCCAGTGCCTATAGTTGACCATCTACCGAAAATATCAGCCAAACCACAAAGAAATCTCAAACGAGTATACCATTTGACTTTGCGAGAGTATAAAATGTTCGGTTACATCCGAACTTAGCCCTTCCTTACTTGTTTTTGAACTATTTTTTTTTTTCGATCCCATGGTGAATTAAACGCTCTACAAAAGTCTCCATTGCGGTAAAGTTATAACTTGCACCTGCGGGGTAGTACGGGCCCCCAAACCTAATTTTTCCATGAAATTCGCGTTTTTTTGGAATTATCTCGTAAACAACACTAGATACAGAAAAATTGTTAAAAACAAAATTATAGGAAATTTAATTTCCTACAAAAAAGTCTTTGGCACCAAATCGATAATATTAATACTCTTTGAGATACAGAGATTTTAAGTTGAAGTGGTATGACCTCACCTGAGTTTTAGAAATCCATAAAAAATCCATACTCTTAAAATCCATTTAGTTAAAAAAAAAGCAGTCTAATGTACATACAAACGATAAGGTTACATATATACATATGTATATATGATTTTTTGAATTTTCGACAAAGATTTCATGATTTGATTGTTGAACCCTGAACCATGCGTACTCAGTACACATTCCCGAAAAATTGTCAGGACAACATTTCTCTCTCTCTCTCTCTCTCTCACTCCCTAAAATTTCCGTTACCACATCTGTTTTAAGCTGATCCATATTTATACAATTTGGAACAATCAATTACACTTGAACTTATCATATTGTATGTGACAGATGTTAGTATACAGTAAAGATATACATATTTATTTGTTTTTATGTCTCCTATAAGTACGTACTAGAACAACAACTATAAACGTCTGTGCATAAACAGAGAAAGCTTTTTAAATGCCTGCGTAAATGCTTTGAAGCTTTTTCGAATACTCGAGAAACAAAGCAAAGCCAAGAGCCATTGTGCATCCCATAGAAGGGGGGGAAGTGCACTCTCTATCTCTTTAACAATTGATTTGTTATATCTATCTCTCTACATGTTGAATGCCAAAACACATACTTAGTTCAATTAGAGTTCAAGGACATCTATGTACCTACTGACTAAGTATATATGTACATACGAGTATATAGTATTATTATTATTATTATTATCTTTGCGCATTTTAATATTGTAGGTTGCATAAAATGGAAATAAGTAATTATGTTTCCGTAATTCGAATTATCATAGAAAAGCACGCATTCCCATCCATACTTGTTTATGTATGACATACATATCCATCGCATCGGCTAAATTTTCTAGTTACTTAATAATTGATCTTACTCCAATTAACATTGCTTGTATATACTAAACCCATACAGTGGGTGCCACCCAAAATAGCCCATGTTATAACACCAAGCCTTGTTTTATTATTTAGACTTGCTATTATCTTCCTCAAACCTTAATTAGGAAGCAATATAAAAAAGCAAACAATTTTGAGTGAGATGGCGATATTTACAAGAAAATATCAAAGCGCACAATAAAATGTCGCGCCATTCAAAATGGCCTACTCATAACCAAACCATTAGACATTTTTTGTCTGGTTGCTTAGTTTAGACATATTTTTGATCACATCGAGCTTTTAGTTCTGTACGATTATGAGAGGGTGCTTCTTCGACTGCACGAGATGGCAATCTGTGCTTCGTGGAAAGGAATATGAACAAATTTCAATATTTAAAAATTTTGCGAGAAAATCTAAAATAATGTGCAAAAAAGCTGGGTATAAAAAGTACATTTCACTTGTACCAAGATAACGATCCGAAGCATTCGGCCCATATTGGGAAAAGTAGTTATTGTATAACTGCCCTAAAGTCTTAAAACCACCTCCGCAATCTCCCGATGTCCTAATGGAAGAGTGGGAAAAAATATCTTCCGACTACACAAAAAAATTGGTGGAATCAGTTATAATTCAAAGAGGCTATCCCAGAGAAGTATATCAAATTATGCTAGACACTGTGGTATATTCACTACTCTGTAGAAACATGAGTATAAATTATGTATTCAATGTATCGATGCATACTTATACATAAACTGTGCTTGCAGCATGTTTATGGATTTTAGAAAAGTGATTTTGTTTAACTTTCCTTAAATATGAGCGTGTAAATATTGCCCTCTACAATGATGTACAAAACACTCTGAATTGAAAAAAACTCTAAATTTACTCACCTTCATCCGCCAATCGCTCTCAACCAACGGTGCAAACGTTTATGCAACAGCTGTTTTCGATAATCGCTCCATGCGTCTGCTCCTAAAGTGGCAACAAGTTGCGAAAAAGCTCCGCTCCTCCCCACTCCATGCACTGATGCCTCCCTTTCACTAGCGCCAAACCATGCTTACGGTATATGTGTTTGTATGTATGTCATACAGAAATGTGTTCATTCGTGCGTCGACGTGAAATTTCAATGCCAACTTTGCGTAAAGCTTTCGAATGTGCTCACAGAGGCGAAAATTTTGCAACTTGTTGGTGAAGTCCTTGCCAAAAGAATGTCGGGCCATCAGTTTTCGGTGCGCGTCTACAGCGATTTGAACGTTCCATGCAGCGGGCGGATAGTGATTAGAGACGGTCTTAGAACTCCAAAGTAATTCTCTGAATATACGGTGCGGGGGTACAACCGTAACGACGCGTTATTGTGCTTGTGTCTGTGGCTTTGCGGAGTAACGGTATTCTAACGGTACATACATAAGTATATAGTGTACGAGCCGTAGTCATAGTGTATCAAGGGCTTAGAAGTGTGTGCGTAAAATATTTAATGAAATACGCAGTTACCAAGACAATTCATGTCTCTGGTTCCATTTGCGTGTGTGTGTTTGTGTGAGAGTATTTTGCAGAACAAAATGGCTTATTTGTTGAATTTAAGACTTTGAATAAAAGTTACCCACACGAAAATACATATGAATACTCGTACATACATACATCAATAACTAATATGTGAAAGTTATTGACAGAAGTCAAAAGCCAAGGGTGAATTCAGGATAGCAGAACCTTCACGAATACGCAAGTATAATATAGAATTGATATTCTTCAATAAACAAGTAGTCGTTCATTACCATAAGTGTCACCAACATTCATACCGTGGAGGAATCTCGAAGCAGACTAGTCGAGAAATAATACATTGTAAAATTTTGACAATTATTGTTTTTTTTAGCTTTACTGGGTTGTAGCCAAGTTCGGGGTAACTAATAATGAGTTTTTAAACAAAGTAATGTAAACAATTCGAAAAGTACAAAATTATTTTTAAGCCAAGCCTCAACACAAAGACCTAAATCTAAGGTAACGAGTCTACTAAATATGGGGACCTTATAACATTGACTTCACTGGGCTAGTAATACGTGATGCTCCTGGAACAGTACTAAATCACAAGTAAATATACCCCATGTCGTGCCACCATAACCTTCTGCATAAATAACATATACTCTATTAAAATATAGCTCACACCCAGAACAAAAAGGACTTTACAATTTTCCGTGAAAGATGTTATCTGTCTCCAAATCAACACTGGTTAAAAATTTTTCTCCAGGGCTGTTTTTGTGAACAGGTTTAATCATAGCGATATTCAACATTATTTGTAACAACTCTTTTTTCCTTGTATGAATTAATTTCACAGCAATTAACAAAAAACTATAAATATTGTCCATTAGGAAGTTTTTAGGATATTTGCTTTTAACTACTGAGTGAGCGATGCCTATTTTACATTGATCCAATATTTTTATTAAAATACAGCTTTTTCTAACAGCTTCATTCAATTTACCTCAAAGTAGTAGGACCTTAGGCTATGCAAGAACATCGCCATAACTTTAAAATTTTACAAATAAATTCTTTTACTCAAATATTTGTTGATTATTTAACTATAATAATAAATTTACTAGTATTACTAATACATTAATCAAGCTCATTATTCAATCATCATTGATCACAATACAATTAAGACCAAAGCATAATGACAAAAAACATTATCTTACTTCTATTAACAAGGAAAAATTGTTCCATTATTCATAACCGACTACCATATTTTAGCTTTCTAAACAAGCAGACATTGTTCGAATATTAAATATTTTAGTCGTACAAATACTATCATCATTAAAGGAAATGCAAAGGTTAGGGTTCTGATTTATTAGTTATATACAAAGAAACTAGGCGAAACAAATTTTTGTATTCTTACTAAAACCTGGAAGGAAATTTGATCCTAGAACTCGCTCTTTCGAATACTTCAAAATTAAACAGATCGACTACAATTTTACACAGATTACAAAAATATGAAGACTTTTTAAAAGAAATGTGAATGATTTGAGATGAGAATGGGTTAATTTTTGCTTCCGTCTGTGAAATAGTCAGTTTTATCGTCCTCCTCATTGATTTCTTAATTATGGTTCTTAATATTTCTCTTTTCGTTGACTATTATTGTATAATTATTTCTTGCCTTCGTCTCCTTTAGTCATTTCACAACCATTATGTAACGAATACACACAGAACACGATTTTGGTTGAATTTATCAATATGGTTCAGAGATATTCAAAAGTAAATAACATGTTTAGACCTCATAAAGTTTTTGCTATCTCCAAACCTGTTATTAAAACGAGGAATGCAATCGAGTTTTGTGTTATTTTTTTCGTTTTACTTCTGTTCCTGTATCAAATTAAATGTCAACAAGCAGCAATCGCCGAGTTCTAGTCGACTAGCTATGTATGTATGTATGTTCTCCTTGGCCTCTATCACACTTCTCATATATTATAGATGCTGTTACAGACAAGAACACAAGCCAGGTACCCTATAGGAAAATAATTTAAAAAATTTTGAAGAAGACTTGAAATTAGTCGAGACCTAATTTTTTCAATAAATATCAAAAAATGTATATAGAGAAAGAAATTAGAATATTTTAATGAGAAACCACATTCTCTCTTGTATTATATTCACCAATTTGACTTCGCTAGATAATTTCACATGTCACAGAATATCAAGTTCCAAATACATACATACATACATACATATGTACTTATATTGATCAGAGAAGTTTCAAACGATGCTTTTTATTATTAAGTATTTAATATGATTGAGTTTTTAGTTCAGAAGGAAGACTCTGAATAACTTGATATAGCCTTAGAGGGTGTGTACGCTCTTAAAACAGTATTAGAACAAATGTGCGAATTTGTGTGCAAATGCGTTGATGCGTGTAGTGGCTTTCAACTAAATTGAAATAATCCATAAAATGTCAAAACCAGAAGTTGACGTTGAAACAAGAAGCTCACCGCATATTACATGCAACAACAATAGCAAACAACATAGCACAAACAAATAATATTGATAACAATAACAGCGGCCCACAAAACAATTATTACTGTGTATACATAACATTTAATGGAGTGACCCATGTGAATCTGCATCAAGCAAAAGTTAACGGTCACCAGCGCAGCAGACAAGTGAACAAATTAACGTCGATATAGCGGACTTATAGACAGTTGAGATGGCAAAATTTGAACCTGCCAAAGGAAGTGGGGGAGGATAGCCATAGTCTTAGGCCCCTAGGCCAGCGACGTACTTTTATTTCTGTGTTTGTGTGAAAAACACGGCTGAATGAACAAATAAATATATACAAGTACTTATGTATATATTATGTTCACGAAAGTGATATGCGCAGAGAACTCACGGTAAGAAGATAAATAGGCAAATAGGCCTTAAATGGGTGAGGATAAAAGGTGAACATTTACCAATCTCCAATACACACATATGGAATATTGCTGAGCTGACGAAGTAAAATCTTTTTATAGAGACCTCATGCTATGACTTTTTAATGATAATATATTTATAAATTAATAAAATATCAAAATATAATGGAACTCTCTTATTGCCTCGATAGGTGACGCTATTGCAAAATTTTTCACAATATTTATTTGGTTACAGAGATAGAGAAATACCTCCAATGGAATCATTGATATACATATGTACATAAGCTCCTAATGACACCGGTCTTAATTATTTTTTGAGGTTAGGTTCATTTATTAAAGATTCAACCACTTGTATTATCAATTGTCAACGGTTATTTTTATCAGAACTTTTTGTTAAATTTAAAGCTATAAACCAATACAAGTAAACAAAAGGTGAGCGGAGGGTGTAGTAATTACAATATTACGAAACATTTACTTCGGGTTAAAATATGCAGTACTGCATAGATACGTGTGCATTCCCTTGAACAAACGATGCCTCATTACATTCACTTAAGATATTTAATGTAATTATTAAGTCTGAAAAGATCATCAGTAATGAAATTAGGTTTAATCTTTTTTAAAACGTGCCTAGTGGGAACTCTGTACACGTCGGACAGTTCGGACTAATGTCGCAATGGAATCTGTACAGGTAGCTTCTAAGGCACCCATGTCCCCTCAATATTTGGGTCAGGTGAAAATCCAGAACCCCATGTCATCTGGCTATCCACGAATGGCTGTCCGGTAAGGTTTCCCACCGTTGCTGTCTAGGTGTTTAGCCACTGCTACCACTATAAGGTCGTCCGCGTACCCGATTAATTTCACAGGTTTTGGCTGGTATCTCCTTAGCACCCCATTATACTTTAGGCTCCATAGAAGGGGACCTAAACCGAGCCTTGCGGTACTCCACTCGAAATATAGTACATTTTGATGCCTTCATCAGTGTCGAATAATAAACGTCTGTTTTCAAAATAACTTATAATAGCGTTTACAAGATATTGAGGAGCGCATATTTCATACAGGGCCTTGATTATGTTTGCCCATTTTGCAGAGTTGGAGGTATTCTTCACATTCAGGGTGATCAGCGCGCAATATTTTTTAGTCATGCCTTTCCATCTTTTACTACTTACAGCGCATTTCGCAGTTTCAACGACATTGTTTAGTACGTCAATAGTGGACCTATTTTTTATAAGGCCGAATTGTCTTTCTGATATTCCGCCGGCCAATCGCTGAAGTTTTCATTGAATATCCTTTCCTTTAAGCACGCATTGTACATTTGTGCGAACACATTTGGTTTTAAATTCATGGTCTCCTTTAAGGCTCTAGTTGGTATGCCATCTATACCAGGCGCTTTGATGCTTTTTATTTTTCCCACTATGGCCAATATTTCTTCTTCACTAACTAGTAGCGGTGGCTCTACAACTTCGGTTCGCTGTTTAGCATAGGAAATCAGATGGTATTTTGGGAATAATGTTTCTTAGATATACGCTTTTTGATTGTTGTGTCTTATTTTTTGAATTTTGAAATAGCCATACTCCAAGGGTCTACGTGAGCTTCCTCACAGAGCTTTTCAAAACAGTTCCTTATGCTGCGGGCAATGGCTGACTTTAGAAGCTTCTTTTGTGCTTTAAACATTTCTCCGAGACTGTTTGCACTTTCCCACATTGATAACGTTGTAGACGGTGTCTAGCTGCAATACAGACCTTTCTGAGCGTATCTATTTCTTCATTCTACCAATAGGCTGGTTTACGTTTGTTGTGGTGTACTGTTCTACGCAGAGTTGCGTCGCATGCTGTGACCAGTTCTTTCCGCACTGCGGATACCAAGTGAGTGGGGTCCTCGCCTGGTGTATTTGATGAGCTCCAGACTATTTCAGAAAGGTCATGTGGTCACTATCTGTAAATTATAATTACCATAGTATTCATAATAATTATAGTTTATTAATTCTAAAATATACTTCATATTATAGTGAATTTAATTTTCTTTTTAAACTTTAAAAATGTTTTTTAGTATTTAATATATATAATTGTTTGATGCCATGGGACTCATACTCGCAGAGCCATTCTAGTGATTGCTTTTATTATTTATGCTACGCCGCTCAACACGCAATAGTAGTATTTTCCTTTGCCATTTTGTTTACTCTTTTTAACGGCAAGTTACGACACCATTAATGGTTTCCTGGTATACTATAGCCATTACGGGAATTTAAAAACAAAATACAAACAGCTGAATGCTTTCCAGAACGACAATTTTGTACCCAACGCAGAATTATTAGGTTGGCAGAATGAGTTTAAGACTAAAGACTAAGCAACTTTAGTTTTAACAACAAATGGGGAGCATTTTCGAACACTCTTAATTTCATAACCGCAAAAACAGTTATAATTTTAAATTGAATACTCGTACTTTTTAATATTAAACTTTAAACAAGATGATGTTTCCTTACATTTGCAATTTAAGCCTAAAAAATTTTTTTTTCTCGAACTTTTTGTCATTCTTTTGCTTTTATTTTACACATTTATTGCTTCAACTTCCTTTCACCATTACGGCTTTCATTGCATTTTTAAAGTACGTGTTTATTCGCCGCTGCCGCCATTGCCCATTTCCCTCAAAGGGTTGCACTTTTGTACGATAAACATTTGAAAACTTCCTTATATAATTTCTTTTGTCAGTCCTTTTTAAACACACATTTCAAGCGACAATACATTATGTAAAAGTATGTATCTATATATATATAATATATAGCAGTATAGTATATATAGTAGTATATGTACATATATATATAGCAGAATTCAACACCATTAATCGTACCACACACATTCCGCTCAATATTCAAATTCTTCCGAAAACGGCGGACAATTTTACACCCACACATAAGTATTATATATCACGCCCATAAGTACAATATATAGATATACTTATGTATATCTACAGCTTACCAACTCGGGGTGACAAAGCAACAAATCCATGAAATTCGACCTTCTAACATTGTTAATATTGAAGTTCGAGGTACGTAGTCTGAGAGGGGCAAAATCAATAAACCGAATGTTGCAACAACAATGGCGATTTGTTTTTAAGAAAATCCAAAGTATGCAAAAATCATGAAAAATCGAGTTTTTAAATACACGCATAAAAAGTTAGGGCTGAGTGTATATATACTCATGTATTGTATATACTGATATGTACTTGGTTAGGTATATAGGTACATGCATAATTATATGTACATATGTATGTATATATCTACCTAATATAATATAATATATGTGCACTAGTTGATGTAGTTGAGATATACATATGTATGAATATGAGTCGATGTTAAAAAGAAGCCCTGCCGGTTAAAAATGCTAAATACAAATACTATTATCTGCCTTCGAGAAGAAATTTACTTATTGGCCTTCGGCAGTAGAACAATTATACACAGTCGAGATGTTTTTCAATGTAAAATGTCCTTTTCGGGCAGTTATTTGTGTATTAAAGAACAACTGAAACTTCCTCTACATCGACATCCTCACATGAACAATAAAATTATTAAACTCAATTATCATAAAAACTTACTGTGTTAATATGGATGAGAAAATATTATCATCTCTCTATAAAATTAGAGGAATTAACCGACATTCCTCCCTTCCGTACTTACCGCCCGTATCAAACCAAATTTGTCAAAAGTTATTCCCGTAGTTGCAACGCAGAAATCGGTTGTTCTCTTCTGTTTTCATTTCACCAATGTTGCCATTGTTCTATTTGTGTACACGATTTTTCACATTTAGTTTTTAGTTATAATTTTTTATAACGTAAAAGCACCAACCTAAAATCCAACTATTAAAAAAAGTCTACCTAGTTATAAATAATTGTATTCGACTGTGATTTTGAGTTATTTTAAGAATATTTCAAATACATTCAAGTTCATTTTTTAATTGCTGCAAAATACCGAGATTGGCAACCCTGTGTTGCAAGAGATTACTCTCTCACCCTCAGCTCACTCGTTTCTGCGGAAAAAATCCAATTTTTGCGGATATCCTACGATTTGTTGAAGCGGACGGTAGAAGCGGTGGTGACTGTTCATTTGAATTGCGCTCTCATAAGATAGGTCGTATCAGCTGATTCCACGGTTTTGCGTCGGTGTCTGTTTGTGCCATAACCCATGTCGAATCAAACGGAGAATAATGGGTTTCGTCAAAAGGCTTAATCTTTGTTAAAACTTTTAAAAGATCCAAACACTTGTTCTATTGATGAATATTACTTGAGAATTGCAATCAAAACCCTCTGATCTAGGACCCACACAGATTAAGACTACTAACACTTGTATTTAAAAGGTTAAAAACCGGGTTCATATATGTATAGTATAAATATTTTTTTTAGAATGTGTTCCGTACATTGTGTCTCAATAATCTTCACTTTTGATTAAAAAATGGGAAATTTTAAACGAAAAAGTTTCGTGTCCTGGGTATTTTGAAATTATACATATGCACTAGTGACACACACGTATATTTTTAATCAACAACTCCCGTTGTTTAATATTTTTTGCACGTCCATAATGTTGCATATCTCGCACAAGAGCTCATTTCGTATTCTGAGCACGTATAGGATTCGCGCCGGTAAGTGATGTCCTGGTATACTCATTCCATATGCATTTATTTAAAAATGTTTATTAACAGCAACTTGTTGCAAAAACACTCTGCAAGTACACACATACATATATGTGTTGCCAAGTCATTCTACCTCCTGCACTCACACATGTGTGTGTACATACGTATGTATACAAATTGCATACTATGTGGTATTAATCTATTTTAGTTCAAATAATTTTATTTGCTAATTGGTGTATGACACAGAAGTTTCAAACAATAAATTTATCAATGTCATGCAATGCTGACACTTTGCTCGCAGAGTTATTTGCATAAATAAATTATAAATTATAAACGAATATATGTATGAATGTGGTGTATGTACATATGTATGCTTTAAGATGAACTATCATATTAAGTATTAATTGAAACATATTTCGAACATATGTTCAGCATTTGCATGTCTTTTAACTTTCCCAACAAATAAGTGTAATTCCCAAGTACGCCCTTACTTATAATATAAATAGTATCATGCACCTCTATGATATTTATCAAAGTCTCTAACACCGGAAAATCTAATTCTGGTTCGAATAAGGTGTAGTGGTGGTCAATATAAAAGAAAGTTCTGAGAAAAAACTATTGCGGAAACAGTTATCTTGATAAATTTAGGGATGAGTGCAACGTCCGGTGTGTTTTACGTGAGTACCTGCCGTCGACGGCCTTATCTCACTGTGCTCCAAAGCACAACGTATTACAACAATGCGTTGATAAGCGCCCCAAATAATAATTTTATTTTTACGGTCATGCCTTACCGCGGGTAAATTCTTACCCCTACCCGCAGAGGGGAGGGACGAGTACAACTTGCGTTGTAGATTTACGTGAGTACCTGCCGGCGACGGCCTTACCTCACGGTGCTCAAGAGCACGGCGTATCAAATCCTGCGTTTGATAAGCGCCCCAAACAATACGAGCTTTTTGCAAGTATTATTTGGATACCAGTGGCAGTGTGCCTGGGTCCACACTACCATCTTGGTATGATTCGAGGCCGACCTAAAACCTCTTCCGTTTTCGGGTACGGCACCCAGTTGCTTGAGCAACTTCTTTTTTCGCACTGAAAATTCAGTTCTTCCAGCATTTAGGTTTAAACCACAGCCACCACGATACTCCCCAAAGGGCCGAACCCAATGAGCAGATTGAACAGAAGTCCAAGGGCTTTCTGCTCCCCGTGGTACCGGAAAGTCTCCGGTCAGACTGCGTAGCCTAAACTACTGCCAGTTGAGCAACCCATTACTCAAATGACTGGTGACATTTGTCGCTTGAACTTCAAATGTCTTTTTATTACCTTTTTTCATTTAAAGTGTTTCTAATATCAGTTCAAGCTGAGTATTATAGCACTATCACTCCATATACTATGCTGATATTACTGGGCAAAGAATATAATAACAGTCATAGTGCATATTGGCTTTTAGTCGCCTTTTACGACAGGCATGCCTTGCCGCGGGCATATTCTATCCCCTGCCCGCAGGGGTAAGGGACGAGTACAGTCGGAGACATCTCAATTAATGTATTTTTAGTCGTAAATTACCGTAAATTATTCTGGGTCAGATACTACCCAGAACCAGTCACTCGCTCACATCACTTGCTCTCAGTCTTTCAAAAGTTAGTTTTAACTATAAACATATTCATTAGAGTCTAGTGACCCTTCTCAAATATTTTTACCCTGAATAGAGGGTATTAAGTTTGTCACGAAGCTTGTAACTCCCAGAAGGGAACGTCGGAAGTATATATACTTATATAAATGATCAGCGTAACGACATTGAGATATTAAAGCTTTGTACACATCCTTTTCTATACTAGAAGCTGCTCATTTGTCGGAACTGCCGATATCGAACAACTGAAGCATATAGCTGCCATACAAACTGACCGTTCAAAATCAAGTCCTTGAATGGAATCCTTTTATTTGACAATATATCTTCTTAATATTTAGCACAGATTATAGTCCAAGGCAATACTAAATTTTCCGAGTAAATTACCATATTCAGATCGGAACACTCTAGAAGGTAGCGGCCATTCAAACTGACCGAACAAAATCAAGATAAAGATCTTCATAAAATTTTCTCGTATCCAATTTGAAAATTGAAACTAATTATTTTATATTTACTCAAAATAGAACAATATGTCATTTTAATCTTTCGAACAATGTAATCTTCTTTGTTAGACGACAGTAATAACTTTACCGCAAGTGTGGTGACAATCTTCTTTCGAAAAAGCTAATAAAATAGTATATCAAATGCAATAGAAACCAAATAAAACAAAACAAAAATACTTTTCTCCGATTGAGAATTTAAAATTTTAGTAGTTATAAATTTTACTTGTATTTTTGATACTTTTTCTTGGCCTTCTTGTTATACATGGCTTTTGCATATACGTACATTAGGGTGTCCGTTATTGTCCAAGTTATTTTTGTTTTCTTGTCCTAAAGAATCTATACTTTTAATTTAAACCGAGCATAAAACATTTTACATCTCCCATATATCCCCAAAGGTACTGAGCATTCATACAAGTTATTTATACATGCTGTGTCGCTTATACGACATGAAGACTAGCCTTTGAAAATGATAATAAAAGAAAAAAATTCATAGCAGGTTGAAACCCATCGGAAACAGGTGGTCTGAAATGGGAAAAGGAAGGGGGTAGCCGTTTTTTCTTTCTTGATATTTGGTGTAAACTTACCTTCTTATGTCCCAAACACGCTTTTTATACTCTCGTAACCTGTTGCTACAGAGTATAATAGTTTTGTTCACCTAACGGTTGTTTGTATCACCTAAAACTAATCGAGTTAGATATAGGGTTATATATATATAAATGATCAGGATGAAGAGACGAGTTGAAATCCGGGTGACTGTCTGTCCGTCCGTCCGTCCGCCTGTGCAAGCTGTAACTTGAGTAAAAACACACCTTTATGAAACTTAGTACACATGTTTCTTGATACCGTAAGACGGTTGGTATTGCAGATGGACGTAATCGGACCACTGCCACGCCCACAAAACGCCATTAATCAAAAACAAATAAATTGCCATAACTAAGCTCCGCAATAAGATACAAGACTGGTATTTGTTACACAGGATCACATTAGGGAGAGGCATATGCAGTTAAAAATTTTTTTTTTTAAAGTGGGCGTGGTCCCGCCTCTAATAGGTTTAATGTGCATATCTCCTAAACCGCTAAAGCCATAATAACAAAATTCACTGGAAGAAAATGTTTTTAGCACTTCTATTGACGGTGTGAAAATGGGTGAAATCGGGTGGCAACTCCGCCCACTCTCCATATAACGGTACTTTAAACGGTTAAAAACTACTAAAAGCGCGATAAATCAAGCACTAAACACGCCAGAGAGATTAAATTTTATCTCTGGGATGGTATGAGATGACTTTATAGGAACAGCTTTCAAAATTAGACAGTGGGCGTGGCACAGCCCACTTTTAGGTGAAAAACCATATCTTGAGATCTGCTTAACCAATTTCAACAAAATTCGGTACATAACGTTATTTTCATATTTCTATGTTATAGTGCGAAAGTGGTAGTGGGTGAAATTAGACTACAACCACGCCTATTTCCCATATAACACCATTTTCAATTCCATCTGATTCTTTCACTTTCCACTATGCATATCAAGCAACAATGATTATATCGGGGTGAAACTTTGCGTGAATAATACGTTTAAAGTATGCCACCTTGTGACCAAAAATTGTCTAAATCGAACCAAAACTGTTCAAGCCCCTAAGTACTAAATATGTGGACCCCAGTTCTTATAGTTGACCTTCTACCGAAAATATCAGTCAATCCACAAAGAAATCTTAAACGAGTATACCATTTGACTTTGCGAGAGTATAAAATGTTCGGTTACATCTGAACTTAGCCCGTCCTTACTTTTTATTTCCAATATTTATTTTTTATCCTCTTAATGACCTAATATCGAAAAAAACCTAATTTTTAATCAAAAAATTTCAGATCAAAATTTCACACTTTTTAAAGATGTGAGTAGGCTTTATGATTGCTGAAATCTCTTCTTTCTGATGGTATTAAAA